AAAGACATCTCACCTTACAGGTCACAGGCAGCCCGCAAAGATTCTACTCGACTGCGAGTGACTGATCTCATCACATAAAAAGATCTCCAGAACACAAAGATGCAGAAGTCTTTAAGATTAATTTCTCTTCCAACTGGCCATATATAAAGCTATATACCCAAATTCTTCAGAGAAAGAAGAAAAAAAAAACATAAACAAAGACCTGAAATCAAAGAAAAAGTTTACCAAGAATCTGAACAAACCAACCTTTCACTGTTCTAAGACACTAAACATTTTTGTGACAAAGGCATCTGGAAAATACAGAATTTTTCTGTACTTGCCTTCTTCGCAAATTGTGAAAATTAAGAGAATAATCTTTATAAAGCAGTCAAAATGCACTTGAAGTATACATAATACGTATATACATACGTATTACATAATTTATTTTAGCATACATAATTTATTTAAAAAGTATAATTAATTATTCTTAAGCATTAAATTATTTTAGAAGTAACATTTAAATAAAATGCACAAGTCAATATGTTTTAATGCCCCTAATCTTAAGATAACATCAAAATTAATAGCATGAAGCTTGTGAAGTAGCCATAAGAAAGAGAATGACAGGTGTGTGTATATGTCTGGGCCACATAACCCTAAGAAATAAGTGGTGCTGGAAATCATTTTAAATAGCATTTTCAATTAACTCACCCTGAAATAACAACATATGATTTTAGTTATATAGCTATGCCACAATATGTAAATATAGCTTGGTAATCCCTATGGTGAACTAAGAATGGAAAGCTATAAGTAATAGACATCCTAATAATTTTACACTAAATTTGTTCTTTATATATAAAATCATCTTTAATAGGCTTCTCCTATCTAATATAGAAATGGAAAGTACTAATTTGCATGAATGGAATTTCAGAGGTTCTATCTTACCAAATACAAAATATCTGCAGCCTACTACTTAACTCTGAAACCTTTTAAAAATACAATAGGATTATCAGAAAATGCCTTCAATTTTAAGAACAACACAGTAAAAATAAAATTAAAACTGTGAACAAAGGAAACTGGATATATTATTTTAATGTTTATTTTTCCTGGAAAAATTTCTTATAGATATCATTCCCTTTTGTAATTCAAAAAAATGGAAGATTAATATGGCCACCTAGAGGAGAAAACATGATAACAAATATGCCATCACATTTTCTTACTTTTTCTAGAGTATCTGTATTTCAAATTTATATATATAAACTGTTCTAAAGGACTCAACTGAAGAGGTTAATCATGTATGAAAGAGACCTTGGTTGGATACCAGAGTAGTAGTGATGACCCAACAGAAGCTAAAACCGTATTTGTTTTGGAGTGGACCTGACAAATAGTTTTTATAACTTACCGTGTCACCTTAGGTTAAAAATTACCTACTTGATCTAAAATCTCTTCTCACTTCTATAAAATGGGGATAATCTTACCTACCACAATGATTTGCAGTGAAGATTAAATAGTAATGGTGTGTACAGAAAGTAATAGTCAGGTACACAGTAGGAGCTCAATATGGTAGTTCATACTACCTGGTCAGAGAGTTCTGTACTATTCTCTCCTAGCCATATCCAGGCCCTCCCTGACCCTCCCTAATCTCACAGATACTTCCAGTATTGGCTGTTCCAAAGCTTCTCTACTAGAATTATTCAGTGTTGAGAAATGAACTAATGGTTCCTTACCAGCACTAATGAGGTAACAGATTGTCATGTAAAAAATGGACATTTAATATTTTCCCTCTACCTTGTAATTCCCTTTAGTTACCTCAACCTACACCTTTCAGTTAACTTTGACCCCTATAAACTTGCAGAATAATATGCAGAATAAAAGGTCAGAGCAGTAGAGAAACATAACCTACTATATCCATCCCTTTACTTGTACCTCAGGAAAATGAACCAAATTCTACCAAGAGAACTATACTCAGCAGTCCTCTTAGGTGACCAGCCACCAAGTATTTCTGCTGAGTTAGCTACTCAGAGGAATGACCACCTGGTGGAGACTCAAATGTGTATTTGAACCAAATCCCTTTCCTTCCCAAATATATGCCAGAAGAGGGTTACCACTGCTGGGTTGGAGGGAGAAGGTGAACACTATGGTTAGAATCTCATATGTACTTCTGTATCTTTCTGAGGGGGCATGTTAAGAATTTACTATCACTTGAAATTGCTTTTACTTAAGACCTTGGGCTCTGAAATCTCCCCCTCCAATCAAATTCTCCTTTCTTCCCCCACTCCACTGAATCTTATTTTGGGCTCAAAGCGACTTTGACTTTTCAATAAGCAATAACCTATGATACAAAACTATTCTCCTAGTCTATTGTTTTCTTACATTATCACTTGGTCATCTCTCCATCCTAAATCCCAGTGACAGCATTTTAACAATAAGGATATCCATCTCCACCCCAATGTTTCAGACATTAAATTACCTCCTCCCACATAAACTTACTTCTCTAATACCTCTCTAAACTAATTAAAAATACTGATTCTTCACTCACTGCACATATTCAATCATTCAAGATATACTGAGATCATCCTTAAATCTACAAACTCTGCGTCCCCAAACTCACTGCAAATGAAGGTCTCATCACTGTTTATCCAACTGGTCCTTTCTACCTCCAATAGTCCCACCTCCAATTCATTTTCCGTTACAATAGTTAAATAATCTTTCTTAAATACATTTCTAAAAGTGCCACACTGTCCAGCTTAAAAATCTTCCAGTACTCTATATTTCCTATAAGACAATGAAGTCCTGAACGTGGCATTCAAACCTATTACCTACTTATTCTCCAAACACAGATCCTAAGCTAAAGACACTAAAATACACTCTCATTTGCTTTCACGCCATCAAGATTCCATGGCTGTTGAAACAGATCTTACTCGAGTCCAGTTCACCTAGTCTGTGAAGACTACATTAGACCTCCCCATAAGCCCACCTCCCCAACAACTGAGTCACGTCCTTCTTTGAATGTCTATAGCACTTTGTTCATGAAACTATAGTCAATGGTCTTCCTCCTCTAGTCTGTGGGCTCTTCGAAACAAGCTTGTTTTATTCATCTTTACATCCACAGTATATAGTATGGCACATAAAAAGCTTTCGACAAATGTTTATGAAATAAATCTAATTTCAGAACGCCTAAAGTCAATCTACCCTGGGTGTTTTATCAATTATTGTAGAGTAGAAATGGTAAGAAAGTAGAGATGGGTCCCAAAGATACACGTAAAATGAAAAGAGAAGGTGACTCCAGGACATTGGCCCCAGTTCCAGAGCTTAGGGCAAGACCAGAAGAGCCACTGAGGTTATGCTTCTCTCCTCACTGCTCTTCTCCCAGACTACAGAGCCGTGCTAGAATAACAGAACTGTGGGGAAGCAATCAAGACAGCACGGAAGTGTAGGGAGTGAGGGGGACGAAGCAGTGAGGAGGAAAAAATCAAAACCCTCAACTGGAGCTACAAAAAGGCAAGTGTCCCGGGTCACAGATGACAAATGCAGCCCATGCTCAGGACTGCTCGCTCTCATCACCAGCACTGTTTGCACCACCCGCAACCACAATGACCATTTACTGGTCACCTACCCACAGGGGCCAGAACTTTGCTCCAAACTACCACATATACCACGTAATGTTCATGACAACGCTGTCAGGAAGGTATTATCCACGTTTTAGAGACAATGAAACAAACCTAAAAACCACTAGCTATACGGCCCGAAGTTTGTAGCTAATATGTTAAGTCGCCCAGCCAGAACGTAAACAAGGATCAGGTTCAAAACCCATTCTCTTGAGGCTCTACTATTCACGTGCCAGGGCTGGACGGGGTGGATATATGCTGGGGACAGGCTTCACCGCTTCGCGTCACTCAGTTCTCTTTGTAAGCACGGGCTTTCTTTCCTCTAGTACTAGAAAGGTATTTTTGAGGGTAGAGTCTGATATTTTTTATTTCTTCCCTACCATCTCATAATGAACTTTCTATATAGTAATTTGATTAATTTATTATAAATTGTGGACTAGTAGAAAGAAAAAGGAGGTACATCAGTCATTAGCTAGTATTAAGCCGAATAAAAAAAAGGATGATTTAGCTCCTTTGACAACTCTATGTGCTGGGGTAAGACTTTATGTAATCAATAGTTATAGGCCCTTAAACACAAACCACAGCTACAAAATGAAGGATAGCTTGTGTTTGATGTAATAAAAAATTGTTGTCTAAGATATATTGCTCTCTTCTTCATAAATGAGTATAAAGATAATAATTACTAGGAATACTCATACATTCTATCAAGCATGTGAACAACCTACCTAAAATGTAGAATATGCTTCAATTAATGGCAATTAATTTCCCTTATAGAAAGATGTAAAAACATGTTAGAGTGGACATGTATCTTCTATATAAGTTGAGTTTTAAGCCAATGTCAGTACATGAAGCAAAGATCAATTAGAGACAAAATAATCCTTGAAAATTCCTAAAGTCATCCTTACAGCAAAGTATAACACAGTACGAGCTCTCAATCCATCCTGGACACTTTTTCCCCCTACGCAGAACAGATCACCATTTCTTCGGCTGTGTGCCACATGAAGTATTTGGCTTCTGTTTAGGGGCCACACAGAATGAAAAAGCATACATTTACACACTAGCACCAAGTTCAACACTGTAAGAGACTTAGACTCTCCATCAGTTCCTATACCAGGCATTTAGAGACCGATTCCATGTCAGAGAACAGCAGACTCACATCTTCTACCTCATGCTTGCATTGTGGAAAGAGAAGCAGAATTACTACGGTATTTAAATTATTTGGTGTTTTGCTTTTATTTAGGTTAAGTTTTAGGTTTGGGCTTCAGTCCAAAGATCTGAATTTTGATAAATTATATTCACAGAAATGTGACTCTGTTTATCTCTTGTTTATTGTGCAGCCACAGATGCCTAGAATTTTAGGTACAAATAATCTAACACTATAGTGTGTGATCTAAAAAAATAAGTAACCTGTGTTACCTTCATCTATCGATGCTTCGCTACTGTAGCCATCATACTCCGCAGACAGAGGGCTGTATTTTTGTCTCGTTTCCCAAGCATAGTTCTTTTGTCTCGAATCTGCCAATGGTAGTCTGGAATTGTGGGTTCTGCACAAGGCCTCGTGATATTTACCCAGTGCTTCATCTTCACTTTCAGAGGATGAACCATGCTCATCTTTATCCATGTAGGAATTATCTATTTGGAATGACAGGGAGAACAAATCAAAATTTTAATACAATAAAGTATGATGAATTTGATACACACACATACACACAAAGAGATATATGTCACATATATCCATATGCACATGAATATACATATACATACACAATGTGAATTTCCAGCTTTAAATAAGTATAATTTTTTCATTCAAGAAACCCGAAGCTTTAGATTTTCATATTTTTAATAGAAAAAAGATCAATTTGTATATTTTAATTATAAAAAAATATTAGTTGCAGGGATTTTCCAACCATGTTACAGATAAAGGAAATAACGGAACTTGCCACCTTACACAATTTTTTAAAGGATCAGTAGCACACAAAGAGACTTAGAAATATCGCCAGTACATATGGACCTGATTCAAACTAGAATGTGACTAGAGGCATTTTAGTTATCATCTGGGTCCAAATTTTGAAAAATGATAAGGCTTAGCTCTAGGAGAACAGAGAAATGGGCAGACATATACTACTGGTGGAATTATCATTGGTACAACTCTTCTAGACAGCAATTTGGCAATACGTATCAAATTTTAAATCTGCACCGTCTGTGATTCATTTCTAGGAATTTACCAATTCCATTTCCAAGAATTCGGCCTAAGAAAATAATTAACAGGTGAGCAAAGATATGTATTTCAGACAATTCACTGCACTGTGTTAAATAGCAACAGAAAACAAAAATAAAATATAATCTAAACGTCCATCACTGGGCCTTGGTTAAGTATGTTGTGATATATTTATGCAATGATACAGTATGCAGTTACTACAAATGAGAAGGTGAACTCACAGGTACTCACAGGGAAGAATAACTACAACATCATGTTAAGAGAAAAGAGAAGGTTATGAAACAGAAGGCATACCTATGTTCTTATTTAAACACACACACATATGCAGTGTATGCTCATATACACATACAAAAATATGTGGAAGGATACACTTATTTTCTGTGAAAAGGAGAATTACTAAGAAAATTTTACTGAAGTATAACTAAATTTCAAATAAAATTTTTAGGACATATAAAACTTGCATTATTCTTAAAATAAGAGCAAACTAGTATAATAATAACTAGCTGTTACCATTTTTTTAAAAGTAAAAATTTTGAAACTGCACTATGTTGAGGTTCATTTAACCTAAGATGAGCCTTCGCAGAAAAATAAAACAACTCTGGAAAGATAAAGAGACCACAGCCGGTAGAATTTATTAGGTCAGTCAAGATATTTTTCTCTTTATAAACATTTGAGATCATCTGCACAAAAGGAATCAAGGTTTGAAATTCAGGAGGGGAGACACAGAAAAAGTAATTTAAAAATATGGGAGAGGAATGGTACGTTTAGAGTCAGAAGGAAGGGAGCTTGGATGTCACTAGTCTAAGTCCTCCCTTTTAATTCAGTAAGAGAAAGCCATGAAAGGGTAAAACTATGACCTGTATCATATTCTGCACGGCCCAATACGTAGTCACTAGCCACATGCAGCTATTTGATTCAAAATAAAATAATTTATGAAAGTTCTTCTGAAAATCTCCTTTTCCTTACCTCCCCCAACTCCCAAGTATAAAATCAGCCACCCCTCACCAACCCTGGGGCAGCAGCTCTTTCTGCACACGGGTCCTGTCCGCGTGCTTTAATAAAACCACCTTTTTGCACCAATAAACAAATAATAAAATAATTTAAAACCCAGTTTCCCCGGTGCTACTGGCCACATTTCAAGTGCTCAATACGTGCGTGTGGCTAGTGGTTACTACATGGAACTTTTCCATCATTGCAGAAAGTCCTGTTAGACAGTGCTGAGGTGATAGCAGATCTGGTCTAGAACCTGGGCCTTCTGACACCCAGTTGAAAGCTGTAGCATTTTGTGGGCTACCATGGTGATGGTCTCTAAGGCAGCAGGAAGGAGAGCTCTGAGAAATTCTGCCGTCATACTTCACCTATCACAAAATATTACCTACAGCAGTCCTGCATTCAGAAATATAGAAGGAAACTCTTCCTTCTCTTTCTAAATCCTGTAAGGTCTATGAACGAACCTAGAACACAGGTACTAGTAATACTGATATTACTATTAACGAATAATATTAGAATTCAGCTATAGGAAGAAATAATCTATGGGTCAAATGATTTTCAAACGATTTTTAGAACATAATATGTTTACGTTTAGTACTGACTATAATCTAGAATATCTGAGAGATACTTGGGTTTTCTAGCGACCAGCATGATTCTGAATGAAAACAAATCAAAACAAAATTAACTCTATACTGCTATGTGTGCAGCTTTTATTACTACTGCCTATTCTGTTATTTTCTGAATAACATAAGTATTCTATTTTGTTTATTTTTGCTACTTCAAATAATAAGGCTAACAAAACTAAGCCATGGCTACCCAAAACTACTGATTTGGATAATTAAAAAACTCCTAGCAGAACAGACTCCAAAATGGCCATATTTCCAAAAACTGGCTTTCCTTTTTAATTAGTCTATCCATCCTGGATCAGCCTCTATGATATCACTTAAAAATCATTCATATAATTGATAAATAGCAGATCTTGATTATGTATGAATTCACGAAGAACTGAAAGTCTTCCTCATTTCTGCCGCCACTCAGATTTTTGTTATTTTTATGAGAATCTAAATTTATAGAAAAATGTCAGATATATATATGTATATATATATATATATTTTTTTTAAATAAAAGCCAGTGTACTTTTGGCCTTGTGATCAGATCAGCAACAAATGGAAATGACTAAGGGATTAACAGAAGTAATCACTAGCCATACAAAGCAATTCTGCAACCAACCCAAATAACTGTCGGCTCATTGTTTTGAAAATTGTCACAAATACTGTAGTTAAAAACTATAAATGATTAGTTGGAATCTTAATTCTACACAGAGAACTCATAAAAAATAATAGATTGTTCACGTATACTCATTGTAAACACAGAACTCATATAAAATTCTTAATATGTGGCTAAGTGAATAGGCCCATATCCTGAAGCATGCTATTCAATAAAATAAACTCTAGGGGCACCTGGGTGGCTCAGTGAGTTCAGCATCTGACTCTTGATCTCAGTTCAGATCATGATCTCAGGGTCAGGGGATGGAGCCCCTCATCGGGCTCTGAGCTCAGCACGGAGTCTGCTTGGTCCTCTCCCTCTGCTCCTCCCCCTGCTCACACTCTCACACTCTCTCAAGTGAATAAATAAAATTTTTAAAAATAAATAAAATAAAAAAACCTCTATTGCTCTAAAGGAAAAATATAAGACACTTGATACAGATTCTTATTGGGATAGACTTGAAGGGCAACATAGTATAAAGGTCTCAGGAGTTAGTTACAAAAATATAAAATTTTAAAATTCAACTTTAGCACACTAAATATACTCCAATTAGAGAATGCACACTACTTAAAGCTATGGAGTCTCTGGTTGCCTAATAAACAATCATTAAGAAAAATTAGCCAAATAATGCAGGGACCAGGGACAATATTTAATTTAGCAGTGTACAAAGAACATGAATGCTTTCAAAATGATGGTCAGAAAAAAAAAATGAATGACCTTAAAATTGTCTCCCAGTAAGAGGATTCAAGAAAATCTTAAATTAGACATATAGACATGTATAGGAAAGTTTGGAAATTTGGATGTTTTCTTAATTTAAAAAATCAAGAGAAAAGTTTATCACTCAAACCCACAGTAGGAGACCTCACCTTTTCCTGGTATTATCTTAGAATATTTTTCATCTTTACTCTTTGCTGTTCCTTTCTGGGCAGAAATGGCTTCAGTTTTCTTTGTTTTTATGTCTCCTTTCACTTTGTAGGATGTTGTTGGATTTTTCTGTTCTTTGATTTTTCTGTGTAACTTATCCTTAGAATTAGCTGTTGGTGCTGGATGTATGTCTTCTTTCATAATGGGTTTCTGTATCATATGTCTGTTGCTTGCCAAAATATCTTTTGGAGAACACTCATTTCCTGACCACTCATTCCCTCTGGATCCTTTACTTTTAATATGTTTTTCAGCTTTCTTTAAATGATTTTCTTTCATTTCTTGATATCTTACCTCCTTTAAATCATTCTTACCATTATCGGGCATTCCTAATCCAACTTTTTTACATCTGTCAGTATGTTCAAGTTCTTGACAAGCAGATCCAGCCCTTGCATTCTGCTTGATAAATGATATCTCACCATCACTCAGGTGAGCTTTCAAAGAAGAATCACCACCGACATTACTGCTTTCTTGATATTTTGATAGAGTCCGTTGCCTATCATTAATATGTTTGAATACTCTTTCTTCATTCATTCCGTGATCTTGCTTTTGTGAAACTGAAGTATTGTGACAACTGATTCGATTTGCTCTGTGCTCTACACTGGACTGTGTTTTCTGACAAGTAGTGTCTTTGGAGACTTCTGGTGACACAGCGTTTGCTTGTTTAGAAGTAGCTACTACAGCTTCTGCTACTGCACAGCTTTCTTCTTCTGGGCGAAAGCCATTTATCATACTTGTTACCTGTTCAGCAACTGAGTCAGTGAAAGCGTAGCTGACTTCCCCCACAGCAGTGGTTAAATCTTCTACAGCATTACTGATTGTGTCCACCAGAGAAGACACTGAAGGCAGATTCTGCTGGAAAGTTTTGAAAAATGCCATTTTCTAATTCCTTATTCCTAACAGATGCAATAATGGAATTTTCTCTTCTCAAAATATCAACCACTTAGGATTTGAATTTAAAATGTACTTAAATGTTGTTACTCATGAGCTTGGTATTATTATTTTGCATTGTGGCTTTTAATCTTTCTGTAAATGCATTATGCATTGAAAGAAATACGTTGAAGCAAAGACTCTTCCAAAAAAAAAAAAAAAATCAAACCACTTGGTTTAAATGTAATGACATTTTTTCCCACTCCATAGCTATCAGAACAGCAGCAAGACAATATTTTCCCCTCAAATACTATTGGTTTTTTATTCTATACCTGCAAGAAGAAGTATAAAAAGGATTTTTATTATGGACTTCTGGTTTATTTATTAACAGTCTATGTAGGGGAACTACCCTATATTATTAACAAACTACCAATATCATTTCAAATTAAGACACCTACTAAGGGGAAAATAAGCAATTTGCACAGAGGTCAGGATAGAAAAAAGAGCAGAGGGTGAACACCTGCAGAGTGGCTACTAGATGCAAGGCATTGTGATTTACAAGTTTTATCATACCCGATCTCACAATAACTCTAGGAGGAAAATATTATTATTCCTATTTAATAAGTGAAAAAAAAACAAGGCTCAGAAAAAGTAAGACGGTTCCCAAAACCTTTCCAAAGGATCCTCAAGGTCAAAACTATTTTCATAATAACAGTGAGGGGATATTTAACTTTTTCACTTTCATTTGCTCATAAATGAACACTGGAGTTTTCCAGAGGCGACATGGCAGATTGAATGCAGAAGGAGACATGAGAATAACAGCTGGTTCTTCTTCGCCAGTTATTAAAGGGATTTGCAAAAAATATAAAACAATGGCACTTCTCTCACCATTTTGCGGGGGGGGAGTAAAAAAATACATAGTTTTTTAAGTTAAAAAATGTTACTTATATTTAACATGTATGTAATAGGCTTATTGGGTTTTTTGTGGGGTTTTTTCATTCTAAGTTCTTATTTAAATTCTAGTTAGTTAACATATAGGGTACTATTGGTTTCAGGAGTAGAATTTTAGTGTTTCATCACTTACAAATAACACCCAGTGCTCATCACAACAAGTTATTGGGTTTTTTTTTTTTAAACAAATAAGTTGATAAGAATATTTTTAAATTCTCTCAGTTTTAACTTCTAATATGGTACATATCAATAGATACAACTCACATAAAAAAAAGCTCTTTGGGGTCTTCAATAATTTTTAAGAGTGTAAAGGGGTCATTAGACCGGAGAAAAACCAGAAATGCTGAACCAGGGGATTCCTGGAGGCTGCCCAGAGAGATATCTTTAACCAGTTCAACTCTACACAAATGATCAAGAAGCAAGACTGAAGTATGAGAAATGTTAAACTTAAATCAAACTCACAAAAGTACTACACTTTCCTGATGCAGAAGTCACAGATGTAATTCAATAACCAATAGATTTTTTATAAACAATAATGCTATCACTTTTTAAGTTACCAAGGGTAAGAGAAAAATCTCTCTCCAACACAGTACACAGACAAGAAGAGCAAGGTTTTGGGCGCCTGGGTGGCTCAGATAGTTAAGCATCTGCCTTCGGCTCAGGTCATGATCTCAGGGTCCTGGGGTCAAGTCCCACATCGGGCTCCCTGCTCCTTGGGAGCCTGCTTCTCCCTCTGCCTCTCTCTCTCTCTGTCTCTTGTGAATAAATAAATAAAATCTTTAAAAAAAAAAAAAAAAGAACAAGGTTTTTCTGCTAATGCTCTGCAATACTGTTCTAAATTAACACCTTGCTTTTATAATTCTCAACTCGCTTCTGCTATCACTTATACAAGCCAGTCTCTGGAAACAGCAAATAAAAAACTCTTATAATATAAAAAAAAAAAACCTCCACAGAATACTTTTCATGAAAGAAAGAACAAGATTACAGTCCTCATCTCTCTTAATACGTAGTAGTAGTAAGTGATATAAAGTGATATCATGCCTATGGTACCAAGGGAGGGAGAGGAACACTAATTTTTATAAGCAGACTTTATCTATACACTAAGTTAAAAGAGAAAACTACTTTCTCCAAACAATAAAATTATCCATCAGCTGAGAATTCAACAGCAGGTAAAGAAAAAGGGTGAATACTTTCAAAAAGCCTTCTATGGGAATATGGGAAAAAAAGACAGTATGATTTAAGCTATATAGAGAAAAAAGATACTTCCTTCTTAAAGCATATCTACTCATATTACAGGCTCAGAAGCACACCTTATATATGAAAAATAAAAATGGCATTTTCTGATAGTATGCAATTCATCTTTATGTGATATATTTGCAATTTGTGAACAGAAAGATAATTGAACATAATTTACTTAATAGATTTTTTTTTTTACTCTCACAGAAAAGTGGCTTGAATGTTAGTTTACAGTATGTCAAAACCAACCTTACCATATTATGTTTAAAAAAATAAAATAACAGAATGGTATAGATACAAAGAACAAATAAAAGCAGTGATGATACTTACAAATTTTATCTTGTGAGTTCTTCCTTGTACTGTATCCTGAACCAAGATCTGGAAACCCGCCAACATTTTCAAAACAGAACTTCTTATTAATATAGAGAAAAAGGAGCAGCATCAAGATAATAAACACCCCAACAGCTGACAAAAATCCAACTGCCTCTGGAGAGACTAGAGAAAAAAAAGTCACATCTGTAAGCATTTATTCTCCTTTAAGCTACAAATAAGAAGGAAACCCCTACACATATGTTAGATTACTGCCTTAGTTGAATTATACTTTTTAATTGTCATAGTTTACATAGGTTTATAAGAAAAACAAACTGCACAGTTTAATGAGCTGTTCAATTCATTCAACAGTACTTATTCAAATCTAAAAGTGTCTGTATAAATTATGTTGGAGCAATCTTAAAAGACAGTTTATAAAATAGGCAGTTACATATTTAGTCCATTTAAGAGTATTACAAAAATTTTAGCACAAGAATTAGAAAAAATTATTTCCCATGCACAGGTATCTTACTTAGCCAAATTTATAAGAACATTTATTATTATTCTTATCTCTAAAAGCTTCAATGGCCATTTTATTTAATAAACTCTGGACTTCTTAACGTGGTATTCAAAGCTCCAGCCTCTCTTTTCAATATTACACTCTAATCAAATGGTTCCACCCACTGCCTCCGAATTGGCTATATGCATTACCACACACCTTGTCTTTGTTCATCTTCTTCTCCTCGCCTGGAATGATCAAGTCTGCTCTCTACCATATCCCACTCATTCATTCAATCAACAAATATCCTGGACCAGCAGGCATTACCACATACACAGTCCCTGTCTTCCATGAACGGTCTGGTGAAGGCACTTACAACATGGCGTAACAAAGGCTAAGAGTAGGAAGAACAGGGACTATGAGTTACAGAAACACTTAAGCCAGTGTTGAAGGATCCAGTAGGCTTTTCTGAAAGTTATGGACCCCATGATTATATTCTAAGAATTATTAAAAATTAGCAAGTTAACACTATCCCAGCCAGAAGAAATGGCAAGTGCAAAGGTCCAGAGACAGGAAATCACCGTATATTCCAGAAACTCAATGAAACTTTGTTATGATAAACCAGATTCTCAAGAGAATCTGATCTCAAGAGAATACATGAAGACTTTGTACAGTGAGAACAGCAACAACCAAAATCTACAACTCCTTCAATCCTCAGCAATCTCTCTTTCAACGTTTGCATTATTTGTCACTATACCAGTCATTTGGAGTTATACAGGAACTAAATTTTTTATCCCCCATGCCTCAAGGGATATCCATAGATGAGAATGAATCCTAAGCCTCAAATATCCTCTACTACCTACAATCTACTCTTCCTTCTTCCACTGCTCAAGCAGCAACTAAGATGTCATCTCCTCCAAGATTCTTGCTTTAATCAGAAGAGCCACAGCAATTAGCATCTAAACTCATTTGTTTAAAATGAAGTCACCAACCAGTCCGATGATGACTGTTTTTATCTCCTAGCTTTTCATTATTTGTGAAAGTCAGCCATCCCAGGTGTAGAACTGCTAGGACGTTACAGTCTATTCAAAGCTGGATCAACAGTATTATGGTAGAGGATGGAGCAGAGTGACACTGTGAAGGAAAAGGGGAGAGACTGAACAGAAATGCAGTCTAAATATCAGGCCGAGGAACAGATCCTGCTACTAGAAACAAGAAGTCATGCCCAGACATTAACCCTGTCTCATTTTTCAGGTTGGAGAATAGTCAGGAAAGAGAACAGTATTTTAACTTAAAAATCTAAGCTACATTACCAAAAACAGTGGTATGCATCAAGCCTGAAGGAGGAGGTAAAAATAAAAACAGAAGAATTATCTTCAGCAATTCTTATAGCTAGGAAAGTCAGAAGCAGGCCAGGACCTGGTATAAAAGGCAAAATGCTCAGTAAACTTATATTCAATATTACACTGTAAGCACATATGTATAGGAGCTCCCCCTTTAGCCCAGGTCCCAAATACACTTGAAAATTTGATGCATTTAAGTGAACACACAGGGTTAGATAATATGCAACCTGAAAATCTCCCATCTCTTAAAAGACTAATAAATGAGAGAAAACATAGCTCACCTCACTTAAAAAAGCTAATTATTGCTAACAAAAATAGCAAAAAATACGTATACCATATATTACGTACTAAGGACTGTTTTAAGTACTTTACATATATTAACTTTTTAAATCTTCACAATCAGACTACTATCCTCATTATAAATTGTGATATGGAGACATTAAACTATGTGCCCAGCTTACAAGTGGAAGAGTCAGGATTCAAACCGTGTCTGGTTACAGGGTCTGTGCTTTCAACTACTGTTCATACTTCTCCTCCTGTATTCCTTCTCTCCTCTCCTTGCCTCTTCCTATGTCATGTCTCAGTCCTTATTTCTGTGTTTCTCTTTTCATCTCCCTCCTTTGCATTTGAAAATTTAACCTGGGGTGGGGGGGGAATCAACTATAAACAAATACAACACAGTAAGTGCTATAATAGAGGCAGGAATAGAAAGTATTACTGGAACACAAAGAAATGCCACCTGGGGACGTGACAAATGCTTCAGAAAGGAGGTAACACTTGAGTAGGGTATGAAAGATTAATAAACTATCAAATAGTGAAGGGACAGATGAAATAGCATAGTAAAAGACACAAAATGTGCCTGGCATTCTAGAAACACTAATGGGTCGTGGTCATGTCGGTCTTATTCGCCTCCACGTTCTCAAAGCACCTAGCACAATGCCACAGAGCTGACGTTACATAAACATCTGTAAATGAATGAATGAATGTGTGCTCAGGGAAGATCTAGAATATACCAGAGGAGCTGAGACTGGAGATAAAAGCAAGATCCAAAATATCAAAGAAACTTGAATACCATCCTAAAGATTTTGTATTTGCAGAACTGTATTGCTTAAAACATTTAGAAAACTGAAATATGGTAGGGAGTGATTGGTGGCAACGCAGGAGTTGTTCTTTTTTTTAATTTAAATTCAATTAATTTTAACATATATTATTAGTTTCAGAGGTAGAGTTCAGTGATCCATCAGTTGTATATAATACCCAGTGCTCATTATATCACCTGCCTTCCTTAATGCCCGTCACCCAGTTACCCCATCCCTCCACCTCCTTCCTCTCCAGCAACGCTGTTTGTTTTTCCTGATTAAGAGTAGGAGTTCTTAAATGAAGAAGTAACAGTGGTGACAGAGAAGAGGGGTGAACTCTGGTTTTTGTTCAAGGAAAACAGATAATAACCTAATCGATTAGAAGATGAAGATAAAGAGAAGCTGAAGATAATTCTAAAGTTTCTAGTTTGTGTGAATGAGTTAATGGTTATGCCATGAACCAAAATGAAAAAATATAAAGGGTAAGAGATATAGTTTAGGGCATGAGGGCTAAGAGGGAATTGGAAAGAGAGAGGTAGATAATGAGTTTAGTTTTTGACATATTACATTAGAAATGTCAGACTATTTCAGTGTGGATGCCTAGTAAAGAAAGGGAAGTATGAGTATAGTGCTCTCGTGAAGGTTGGGTTAATTATACAAGATTTGAGAGTTTTCCTCCTTTTGTTCATCCTACTCCACATGAAAGATTTCACGGACTAAATACAAACCAAACTGGCACATGATGGGTAAATCTTATTTTACAAGTTTTTAGACAAATATACTGTGACTTTGGACAAATTTTTAACAAAAAAATCTTTCCCCATCAGAAAAAGGAGAAAGACGCTTAACATAAATATATTAGTCACACAACTCCTTTCTTATCCATCACCTAAATGTTCATTTTCTACATTCTTTGAAAATATTTTATGTATTTAAATTTTAAAACAGTAATATGGTTGTAGACAAGAAAAAAACATTTTCTAAAAGAAAACATTAAAAATCTTCAGACTTCTATTTTTCATCCTTATCTCAGAATTAAAATAAGAAATGACATGATACCTAAGTTGGCCAGAAACAGTTCTAGGCATGAAAACATTTGACAAAGCCTACTTATGCATAAAACTGCAATAGGAAATACACTGAAATTAAAGACATGAATGTTATACACCATCAAAAAAAAAAGAAACAAAATAAAATTACACTTAGATCTCACTATAGAAAATATATATGTATATTTTTAAAGATTTTATTTATTTATTGGACAGAGAGAGAAATAAGCAGGGGGAGTGGGAGAGGGAGAAGCAGGCTTCCCGCCGAGCAGGGAGCCCGATGTGGGACTCAATCCCAGGACCCTGGGATCATGACCTGAGCTGAAGGCAGACGCTTAACGACTGAGCCACCCAGGCGCCCGAAAATGTATTTTCATTCAGTATAAGAAGTTATACCTAAAATCTTATTTATATTATGAACCTGCTTATAAAGCCAGTCTGCATAGGTATTTCTAGGATTACAATTAAATTATCTGTACATAAACCTACTCTTTCCCAAAATTCTAGATTAGCCACTGCAAGCAAGTAAACGCTATTGTAAAATGCCTATTACCTTTTAAGGAGAAGCTTCAAAATCTATTTAATAGCAAACAGATAATTAGTTTAGGTTAATATTATGCATTTGAAGAATTTAATTTGCTGAATCCGAATTTGAGTTAATCAATAACTCAGAATTCACTAATGCATTATTTTCCCATAATCCAAACTTGTAAAATTTACATGTGATAAACAATAAAACCAAGACCAAATAATAATAATATTAGCAACATCAAATATTTAAGAGTGCTTATTATTTGCCAAGGGCTGTTTTTTTTTTTTTAATTTAAATTCCATTTAGTTAACATACACTATAATATTAGTTTCAGGTGTACAATACAATGATTCAACATTTCCATACAACACCCGGGACTCATCACAACAAATGTTCTCCTTAATGCCCATCACCTATTTCACCCATCCCCCACCCACCTCCCTTTCTGGTAACCATTAGTTTGTTCTCTATAGTTAAGAGTCTGTTTCTTGGTTCGCCTCTCTCTCTCTCTCTCTTTTCTCCCCTTTGCTCGTTTTAAGCATTACATTTAGGAGTTACAAGCATTATCCAGCTGATTCTTCACTAATTTTACAAATTTTACAAATATGGGAATTGAGGCTCAGGAAGAGTCAAGCAGAACTTCCAAGATCTTAAAATTATTATTCAGTGATAGAGTCTTGGTTT